AGTACAGACAGGATGGGCAGAATACTGACAATCAGAACAAATTACAGCACTGGGAACAATATTCCCACTGGAAAAGAATAAAGAAGCCCTTGTTCTGCAGTCCTAAAGAGTGGTAGGAAGTCAAGGCAACTGGTAAGAGAGCAGCAGTGCTGCTTTCAGAGCACCACATATTTTCACTGATGAGAAGCTCTCCATAGCATCCCTGGAGTTCAAGTGCCTTTTGGTGAAGGGGGAAAAAAAGCATCCATTGGATTGATTCAACCATTAGGACATGGGAACCAAGCTTATAAAAGAACGGAGCGGCTCTCCAGAAACACAGTTATCTTTAGAGCAACATTCACTTCTTGCATCCATAGAAACTTGCAACAAAACAAATTCTGCCCCCAAACGCACATCCAAAATCACAACAAAAGCAGAATTATTGATCCCTTCCTCCAGATTGTAGAGTATTTGGGAATAAATACATCTTTGAGCAACCTGGTGTAGAGGGAGGTGTCCCTGCCTATAGCAGGGGGTTGGAACGAGATGATCTTAAAGATCCCTTCCAACCCAAACCATTCTAGGGTTCTAGGAAATATCCAAGCTGGGAGGAAAAAAGGATGACTAATTGGCAAGGTGATAACCAAGAGCCCCACCTACCATCACTGCCCCTTCTTTTTGCTTCTTTAGCATCCTTATATTCCCACCATGAACACTGAAGGTGAAGTGTGACCTCGTCTTTGCCCATCAGCAAGGCCACAACTGAGCACACAGTACAGCAAAGGCCCCTGGTTCTGCCTGCATGCAGGGAAGGGTGGTATGGAGCATCACATGGGCTCACGTGTGAAAAGGAAGGCTTTGCACTGAGCCTGATGGCCACAAGCACCTCCCAGCTCCTGTCCTGCAGCCACGTGGTGCTTTGGAGCTGGACCTCTTCTACACTGCAATTCTGGACCATCACCATAAGTCTTCTTGTTTGCCCTCCAGAGAGAGGAAACCAAACCCAAGGTTACAAAGGAAAGCCAGTGGTTTGCAGATCACATCAGGAAGCTTCCAGAGTACCGTGTCATCTCAGCTCACATAACATCCAGAACAGATGGCAGCAGTACCTGCAATCCCTGCGATTTCCAACTCTGCCCTCAGGCACTTTGACACAAAGGCTCATTCCACAAACCCCAATTTGCACCTTCAGCTGCCACCAAAGCCCACCAACACCCAAAGGTGTTGGTCTGCAGCCGATCCCAAAATGATGCTCCTATGGGATGCAGGGGACTGGAGCACCTCCCCTACAAAGACAGGCTGAGGGAGCTGGGCTTGTTCAGCATGGAGAAAAGAAGGCTGTGGGGTGAATCATTGCAGCCTTCAGTACCTAAAGGGAGCCTACAAACAGGAGGGGAATCAACTCTTGGAAAGGGTGGATAACAGCAGGACAAGGGGAAATGGTTGGAAGTTGAGGGAGGGAAGTTTTAGGCTGGATGTCAGGGGGAAATTCTTTACAGAGAGAGTGGTGAGGTGCTGAACAGCTGCCCAGAGAGGCTGTGGATGCCCCGTCCATCCCTGGAGGTGTTCAAGGCCAGGTTGGATGGGGCCCTGGGCAGCCTGGGCTGGTGTGAAATGTGGAGGTTGGTGGCCCTGCATGTGGCAGGGAGTTGGAGCTTCGTGATCCTTGAGGTCCCTTCCAACCCTGGCCATTCTGTGATTCTGTGGAGGGACACAGTGGCCACAGGCTGCTGGTTGGACTGGGTGATCCTAAAGCCCTTCTCCAACAGCAATGGTTATATGACCTCTCTGCATGCCCTCATGGCAGAATCCCAGCCTGGTTTACTTTGAGGCTCTTCCCACCTCAAAGCACAACAGAAAAAAGTGGTGTCCTCCCAAGAGGAGCCCGAGAGACATCAATGGCTCCCATAGCAACCAGGCAGGGAACGGCCACAACTGCTGCAATTAGGGCTGATTGCAATGATTTCCCATTCCCTCCAGGTCAGTGGGCTGGAGAACGCTGGGCCAGATGCAGGGCTCCCAGTAACAGCATCTGTCAGGCCAGTCTGATCATTCCCAGCCTTCCTCCCAGTCCATCACTGATATGACAGGGGTTGGACACACATCCTGCTGACTGATGTTTCGTTTGGAGCTTTTTGTTTCACTTATTGCCTATCCTTTCACCATGAAACCTCCAAGTGCAGCTCTGATTCCTGCAGAAGAGGTGTCCTGATGGTGTCTGACAGAAGCTCGTGTGTGTGTAAAGTGAAAAACCCCACACTTTTACATGATGAAAAGAAAGAAGCAAAAGGAAGCAGATGTCAGCATCTGTGGTGCAAAGAGAGAAAGGAGCAATGGGATGGCCATGAACAACATGGCAGGGGGAGCCCCCAGGTCAGCCCTCACTGTCCATGGCACTGTGAGGGGACCACACTTCATGGAATGGAAGGAGACACTCCAGGCAAGCAGACATGCACCAACTGCTTCTTCTGCAGAAGGATTTAATCCCATTAAAAGGTAACGTCAGAACACACTTGGCCTTTGAAGCCCAATGACAAGGCAATAAATCACACAAAATGCAACCATCACCACAGATCTAAGAGGAAAGGCCATTCCCTGAAAGTACCATCCATCTGTCTCAGAGCACTTTCAGCACAGCCCTACAGCACTTAGAGATCAAACTGAGATGCAAGGCTTGAACAAGAGAAGGAGGACAGAATGTAGCTGCAGCACCAAGCCAGGAGGCAGCAGCTCCTTCACCACCTGGATGCCCAGAAGGGCAGGGTTACCTCTAATGGCCGTGCAGTCACAGGAACATGTACACAAACAGCACTGAGAAATGTCTTTCTCGAAGCCACAGAACCTTTCTGCCACCTGAAACAAAACCACTGTAGGACTGGGGCAATAGCTGCTTTCACTTGAACCCAAATTCATCCTCTACAACTCAGCACAACCAGCAGCACACTGCCCAACAACGAGCAGAACAGTTTCCAGTCTCAGCTATGTCCTCCCCATCAGCAGCTCCCTCTGATGCCACTCGGCCCCTTCTGCTCCTTCCACATTTCCAGCAGTGAGTGTGCACCACTGGGGGCACCAATTCACACCGCAGCACAGCAAAGGAACCCTTCCCTGCTGAAATCATCCCCAGCCTTAACACAGACATCCCAGCACTGAGCAAAACTTCATCGTCAGGCACCTCAAGCTGAAGCAGTCATTCCTATCAGCAGGGCAGACAATGTTCTCTCCTCATCGCTACTGAGTGCTTTAAACTGCCTTTAAGTGTGCAATTAATGACATTACTTGTCAGGGATCACTTTGCAAACCCCCCCACCTCCACCCCTCCGCTCAGCTCCTGCACACCTCCAACCTTTTTTATTTCCTTCAACTTTGTGCATTGCTCCTCCTTACCCTGTTCCTGGAGATGCTCAGGTTGACACCACGAACACCCCTGCAGGAGGCACGCACCACAGAACAGGACAAAGCAAGACCAGATATAAGGAAAGGAGCTGGAACTGCTTGGGGAACCAATGCTGGGTGCTGCCTGCTGGCTTTGCCACAGCCCCAAATGAAATTGAGGCCCTTTCCTCCACCCTCCCCCTGCAGCTACACATCACCTACATTCAGAGGCAGCCGTTCTTCATGCATTGTCCAGCTCTCTGTTCTCTCCCCTCTCTTCACGCAAGGCTGGTGGTGATGGGTCAATGGCTGGACTTGGTGATCCTAATGGTCCTCATAGAATGGCTTGGTTTGGAAGGGACCCCAAGGATCACCAGGTCCCAACCCACTGCCAAACAGGGCCACCAACCTACAGATCTGGGTCTGGACCTGGCTGCTCAGGGCCCCATCCAACCTGGTTTTGGTCTTTCCCAACCGGAACGACTCTATGAGTCTATGACTGCAGGAGGCTCCCTGTGCACTGCAAACCTTTTCTCCAGGAACAACTCCAGAAATCCCTCCCCAGATAATTTCTTTTATCATTCTCCCACGGCTGCCAGGAACGTCCCTCCCAGTGTCAGCCATGCACCACATAAGCACTGCCCAGCAGCACGCCCTATGGCAACTCACTCTCCTCCTCTCCCTTCTTTTTTCCCTCATGTTTCTTCACTGACACCTCAAAGCACGAGGAAATCCCACATCCCCTCTAATATCAGTGAGAGAAGGAGATCAAAAGGCAAAAAAAAAAAACCAAACAATACGAAATGCCACCATCAGCACCCAGGGCTGTGTGTGTGATAGGAAGATGCCCACCCCCAAACCATGGGCGCATGGAGCTGGGGCAGAAAGACAAGGCACAGCTGGGAGAGATGCCACGAGTGAGGAATGTGGGATTTCTGCTTTTAAGCCACATTTACAACTCTAATTCTCTGCAGGTGCAATCATAACAAGTTGTAATTACTTACAATTACAAACATGGGAGTAGAAGATATTCAGTTGGAAGAAGAAAGGGCTGTGATGACAAAATTTTAAGTATTTCATGATCCTTGACAAAGGAAGAGCCCTTTTCATAGCAGCTCTGGCCTGGAGGAGGCACTTCCTAGCACAGACTGCTTTTTTATCTCAGAAGCCAGTCTCAAACAAAGCACACTGAAGAAAGCCTGCACCCCAAGCACTGCTCACACAGTTCCCCCAGCCATGAACACCCCATAGGCTCTCACCATCTGCACTATTTTTGGGTGTAGGCTCAACGAGACACACAACACTGTGCAATGACAGCTCTGAAACGTGTTCTCACTCCAGCCCTTCCAAGAGCCAGCATTAAAAATGAAATTTCAAGCTTAACTGGATCACTTTCACCTCCTGTAATCAACACTCCCCCTCTCCTGTGCTGCCCCAGGGGGGAGCAGCCATACAGCTCTGACCTGCAGCACACAGCAAGTGTGAATGGGCAGCAGTGAGAAAACGAATGCATGGAGCTGCTCAATGCAATGGGGGCTGTGCATCTCCCAGCCAGCACCATAAAACAGAGCTGCACTACATGTAATGCTCCTCCTGGCTGGAGCTGCTGTCCCTCTCCAAATGCAGCACCTCTGCATGCAGCTTACCAGGGCAGTATGCATCCACGTCCAGTTTCTGTGCTGAAGAGAGTGTTGGTGAGCCAAGCTCAGACTCGGGGATGCGAGGGCTCTCAACAAACTTTGCTTTCCTCAGAGGGGCTAAGGAGAAGGAGGGGGAGAGAGACAGAGGGCTCATGAGTAAGGGAAACAGCGAGCAACAGATGGAAGCACTTAATGAAGCACTTAATGACACTGTCAGACTCAGATCAGGTTACCCCCACCATCACCCCCCCCTTTTTTTTTTTTTTCCTTTTCTGCTGAAAAAAAAAAAAGCATTATCTGCATTCTTTACAAAGGAGATGGCTCTGATTCAGACTTAAGGCTGCAGCCTTCAGAGTACGCGGGGCTGCAGCAGCTCCTGATGCTCCCAAGCACTTCCCTTTTTCCTTCCCACTTCAACCCATCTTTTATAGGAAGCAAACAGGACTGCACTCTGCCATGCAAAGGGCTGAGATGGCACAGAGGGATGCAGAGCCTGCTGGGGTTTCAGGTATTTAACTCCAAAACACTGAAATGAATACACAAATTCTGTGTTCAGTGACTGCTTCCTCCGCAGAGCAATGAAAATAAACCCATTTTGAAGCACTGCAAATGTCTGATCCCACAGGTGCTGCACTCCCCGTGGATGATCAGATGGAAACCAACGCTGCCCAGAAAGAAAGGACCCCAGTGCTTCACTTTCACCCTTGCAAATCCAGAAATGATTCAAAGGAATGAAAGGAAGAGCTGGGAAAGGCGAAGCGCCCCGGAGCAAAACAGCACCAGCATCACACAAACAGCACTGAGCTCTGAGATCCAGTCACAAAGTGCTGTGCCCCTTTTGCTGGTAGTGAAGCAATGATTTCTAAAACGCCTTCAGCACCGAGTTTTTCAATGGGTTTTTCTGCCAGACCGGAGAAACAGAACTGGGCTGTAAGCTGTGTGCAGGTGACGGCGCTGCGCTTCCCAGCTGCGCTCACTGCCCATTGAAGTGAAAGGCCAACTTGAAAAGCTGCTCTCCCAAATCCTGCCTGCACCGCTCAGCCTGACGGCCCTCCTGTGCACCTCTCACATCACAGTCCTCCTGCCCTGATCACCAAAAATGGGGCTGAACCTCGGGATGGGCTTTGCTCTCATGCACCTCCCGTGGTACAAGCTAACAGCCAGGTGCTGTATAAATGCAGTGGTAGCAGAGGGATTGCTGCCCGGGCCAGAAAGGTGTTGGGAACCATCATTCTGCTCAGAGCCACGTGCTAATATTTCACGTGAAGCTGCAGTTCTGCCAACGGGGAGAACTGCCTTACTGCAGCCTCACCAGCAGTCATCCTTGTAACTGGAATAGCACGTCCTTGTTTCATTGTTCCAGGCTCACGTCAGAGCCACAGACCTCTGCTGTGCCAACCAAGCGATGTTCCACTGAAAAGCTCTTCTCACAGTTGGAGATGTTAATAACCACAACTGGGTTGGCACTGAAGGTTCTGTGCTACAGCTGAGGTACAAACCCAAAGAGTTTGCTGACATCCTGAACACCCCCCCCCCCCATGAGCACAGCAAAACCTTATGACCAAAATGACACCATCAGTGCTCGCGACGCAGCATAAACCTGAGCAAAGCAGAGAGAAGTGATGTGCAGCATTCCACACCTCCA